AGTGGGTAAACAGTTAGTAATAATTATATTTTATTTTTATACAAAGAATGTATTTAATAGTTCTTCTGAAGCATTATCAAATGATTAAATAAAAAAAAAATATATTAAAATAGAAATTTTAAAAATTTCAAAAAAAAATATATAAAACCCATAAACCAGTACTTTTTAAAAATCCAATATTAATTTTTTCTTCGTAATTGATTGTTGTTTTTTTTTCGTAAAAGAATGTGATTCTTTTTATTTTTAAAAAAAATATTAAAATAGATATTTCTAAATTTTACTTGACCAAAAATTTAATTGAAATTTGGTTTAAATTTTTTTTTAAAGTAAATTTTATATTTTTATTTTAATATTTTTTTTCTTTTTTTAAAAAAAGTTTCAGACTATAAATTAAATTTTTTTTTATCGTTAATTATAAATATTTCAAAATAATCAAATAAATAAAAATAAATTTTAATAAATAATTTTAATAATTAATATAAAAAAATAAATAAAATGTCAGAAGTCCCAAGTTTAACTTATTTCAAAGGTAGAGGTTTTGCTCAATTTTCACGTGTTGCTCTTTCATATTTAAATGTTCCATTTGAAAATGTTACTGTTGAAACTGTTGATGATGCCTTAAGAGAAAAATTACCATACGGTCAACTCCCAATTTTCAGAGGTAATATAAATATATATTAAAAAATAAAAAATAAAAAAATGAAAATTAATTTAAAAATTTGATTTAATTAGATGGTGACTTTGTTGTTGCTCAATCACAAACCATTGCTCGTTATATCGCTAAAAAATATAACTTTGCTGGTAAAACCCTCCAAGAAGAAACCAAAGTTGATGAAGTCATCAGTGCCATTCACAGTGACTTATTCACTGCCCTCAGTCCAGCTACTTTAGATGTAAGTAAATCTATATGGCGATTCATATTTAAAAAAAAAAAAAAAAAAATAAAGATATTAATATTATTATTTTAATAATTATAGAAAGAAAAACTTAAAAACATTACTTTCCCAAAAATCTTTGGTAAATACAATAACGAATTAAAAGAAAAGAAATATTTAGTTGGTGATTCATATACCATTGCTGATTTATATGTTTATGTTGCTTATGAATATATCCAATTCCGTGGTTTTTCTGAAGATGTTAATGCCACTCAATACCCACAACTTGAAGAATTAAAGAAATATTTTGAATCAAATGCTGGTGTCCAAGAATACCTTAAAAATAGACCAGAAACCCAATTTTAAATAAAGCCAAAATAAATAAAACAATAGTTATATAAAATTAATTTATAAATCTTTTTTATTTATATTTTTTATTTGTCTAAAAAAAAAAGTTTATTTAATTTTTATTTTAAAAGGAAATTAAGTAGTGTTCTTGGTCGAGGCTTTTTGTTCTTTATACAATATGAAAATTTTTAAAGTTATCAAGACAAATACTAAAAATAAAATAGGGAATTACCATTTTACCAAACTGATAGGCCAATGGGAAAGTTAAGGAACTTTATTGATGAAATACAAATAATGTATAAATAAAAAATTAATATCTAAAATTTAATGAAACTACATTTTCATTACACATAATATAATTATTTATTAGTTGTTTATTTTTTATACTTATATATAATCATTTTTTTTTTTTTTTTTTTTTTTTTAATTTTTGATTTTTTTTTTTTTTAGAATTAATTAAAAAATATTATTTGAATAATTAAATTGGAATTATTATTAAAATAAAATAATATAGTTATTATACTTTCCTTAATGTGGACTTTTAGATTAAATTTAATTATAAAAACTATTATTATAAAATCTATAGTGGCTATATTAGTTAAAAATTATTATTATTTTAATTTTTAATAATGATGTTCGCAATTTCGAAATTTCGTGAGTGTGGTAAATTTCATTTTTTTAATTTAATTTTTTTTTTTTTTTTTTTTATTAAAATTTTTTTATATTTTTTTATTTTTTTGTGGTGTGGGGGAAATTTTTTTTTTTTTTTTCATTTTCATTTTCGTTTTATCAATATACATTTAATTTATTTTTTATAATAGCAAAGCGAACAAGCAGGTAATTATATATATAATATACGATAAAAATAAATACTAATTTTTTTTTTATTTCTTTTTTTTTTTATTTCTCTTTTAGAAATTTCTTTTTTCAAAAATGGATAGTTTATTAAAAGAATTTTGTATTTCAATTATTACTTTTGCTATATCATATTTTATCATGAACATACAAGTCCCAGATAAATACAATTTCATTTATATTATATAAAAATAATAATTTCAATTCATATTTTAATAATAATAGCTTCAATTTCATTTATATTGTATTATAATAATAATTTCAATTAATTTATAATTTTTATATTTTAATAATAACTTCAATATATTTATATTTTTTATATTTTATAAAATAATAATTTCTATTTAGTTTAAACCATATAAGATGCAAGTAAGTAAATTAAGATAAACTAACAAAAATATTTAGAAATAAAAGGAAAAAATCAAAATTACTGACACAAATTATTTTAGTAAATAATAGGTTGACCAACTAATTTCAGGATCTGTTCACAATACATAATGTACCATCAAAATCAAAAGAACTGGACTCAAAGAGTTAATTATATCTGTTCATTCTAATCAACTATTCCAATGAATATCAGACATTTTTCTGGCCAAAAAACAATGGTATCATTGAATAGTTTTAGATAAAGAAACGATTTAGTAGATCCTATTCTACATCTTACGGAAGAATACAAAAACAACTGGACATAGGTGACATTCTCAATAAATCCGTCAAGTCTAATTATATAGCTATGACTTCAATTGATAGTTTTCCATCCAGCCAGACATCAAAATTTAGTTTTTAGAGCCAGTATTGCACAAGATATGGTTTTCTTCCAAACAAATAATGCCGCCACTCTAATGAATATTCTCATCTATACAAAACCGCTTTAACTGGTATTTTATTATCTATTGCAAATGCAATTTGTAAATTAGTCGGTAGTTAAGGTTTATCTTTACAATCTCTTGGAAGTTATAATTAGCTTTCTTTGCTGCTCTCCCGATCTTAGTTTGGTTACCCAACTTCAATCAGTACTAATTCAACTATCAATATTTCCAAACAGATGTTCAATGGGAAAATCCATCTCCTAAAGTTCAATTTACTCAAGATAAAGTATCATTCATAGTTTAACAAGATCCCTTAATTTGCCTAAGAAATAAAGAACCAATTGTCAATAATAACACCAATGCACCAATAATTAATGTCCACCGTCATCCAGTTTCAATCTTTTTTTTTGAACCATCTACAGCCGTCCACTTTGGAAATAATTCAAGCTATTCTCAAATTGTATTCCGTAACCTCTTTGATTCCAGTTCTGCTCCAGCCAGCGATATTAATAATATTTATGGTCACCTATTTCCCATCTTATCTCTTATTACCCATCTCATAAACTACATAATCACCTTTACATCACAATATGTAATTGGCAATCATTTTTTCAATTAATTAATCAATTATCAATAATAGCAATTAAAATTATAGTAGTCTAATAATAATATCAATTTACACTAGTCCATAATTATAATGACCATATAAAATAATTAAATTAATATTTAACAATTCAAAAGTATAAATAGTTCAATTTAGTTATCATCATCGTTAATAATAATATCAATTTACACTAGTCCATAATTATAATGACCATATATAATAATTAAATTAATATTTAACAATTCAAAAGTATAAATAGTTCAATTTAATTATTATCATCATTAATATTAATATCAATTTAAAAGAATAAATAGTTCAGTTTAATCATCATCATCATTAATAATAATATCAATTTACACTAGTCAATAATTATAATGACCATATATAATAATTAAATTAATATTTAGCAATTTAAAAGTATAAATAGTTCAATTTAATTATCATCATCATTAATAATAATATCAATTTACACTAGTACATAATTATAATGACCATATATAATAATTAAATTAATATTTAACAATTCAAAAGTATAAATAGTTCAATTTAATTATTATCATCATTATAATATCAATTTACACTAGTAAATAATTATAATTACCAATCATAATAATTAAATTATATTTAACAATTCAATAGTATAAATAGTTCAATTTAATTATTATCAATTATAAGTTAAAATTCATAATAGGTAATTAAATTCCTCCATCATCATTGTTTTCACCTACATCAGCATCATTATTGTTTGCCCCTCATCATAATAATCAGCTCAGCATTCAGCACCACCAGCATCAGCATCAGCATTGTTTACCCTTCATCAGCTTTCAGCATTCATCATCAGCATTTAGCATTCATCATCAGCATTCATCCTGTCCCTCATCATCATCAGCATCATCATCAGCATTCATTTTGGTCCTCATCATCATCATCACCAGCATTATCATCATCAGCATCATCAGCATCATCATCATCATCAGCATTCATCTTGGTCCTCACCATCATCAGCATCAGCATCATCAATCATCATTATCAGCATTCATCTTGCCCCTCATCATCTTCATCAGCATCATCATCATTATCAATCATCATTATCAGCATTCATCTTGGTCTTCATCAGCATTATCATCATCATCATCATCAGCATTCATCTTGGTCCCCGTTATCATCGTCAACATTCATCTTGGTCCTCATCATCACCAGCATTATCATCAGCATAATCATCATCATCATCAGCATTCATCTTGGTCCTCATCATCATCATCATCATCTGCATTCATCTTGGTCCTCATTATCATCAGCATTCATCATCATCATCACCATCAGCATTCATCTTGCCCCTCATTATGAAAATTTATATCAACCATAAAGCTAGAAAAAAACTTTTAGTTAATAAATAATAATTAATATTTTTATAAAAAAAAAAATAAAAAAAAATAAAAAAAAAAAAAAAAATATAAAAAAAAAAAAATAAAAAATTAATATTAATAATAGAATATAAAATCAAAAAATTCAATATTAGTAACGATAGTATCACATCAATAATTAACTTTAGCATATGAAAAAAATAGAATCAATAGTAAAAAAGATTCAGATGTTTACCATTTCCACAGAATATTACTGTGTCATAGTTTAATTAGAAATAGTATACGAAATAATTTCAACTCCAGACCAATCGAAAATATTTTCAGTATTAGTATACTGAAACATCATAAAATTTTTAAATAAAATATAATAATTTTATTTTTTATAAATAATGTTTATTTTTTACCATTTTCCTTTTTATTATTTTTATTTTAATCATCACCGAATGTGAGTGTTGCAAGACTATTTGGTGGAATTACTTGTTTAAAATTATAACCTGTTTATTTTTGCGTTTTATTAAAATTACCATAAAGTTGAAATTTTATTATTTTTTTTTAAAAATTTTTTTTATTAAATAATTAAATTTGATAAAAAAATTATAAAGATATTTAATGGGCTTGGGGTTTAAAACCAATTTTATTCCGACCATAAATAAAATTTTTTTAAAAAAAACTAATATTTTTCTGTTTATTTTTTTTTAGGTTGGAAAAATATTTAGGATTTTTTTTAGATATTTTTTAATAATACCAAAAAAAAAAATGGAATGGTGTGGAATATCGGTGGAAGCTAAAATTTATTTTTATTTTTAATAACAACCCAATATCAGTAGGGTTTTAATCTATAAGAACAAGAAAGAAAACATTTTTGAACTGTTATTTATTATTTTTTTGCTATTTAAAGTTTTTTTTTAAAAAATATATTATTTAAAAAAAAACACAATTAAATTATACATATAAATCAATAAATAACAAAATATGAATATTATAAAAGCTTTAGTTTTCTTATCATTCATTATTTCATGCCAATCTCAATTAATTCTTATCAAGGATTTTTTAGGTGGAGGTTGTAATACAGTTTCAGGTGGAACCATTTTAAAACAATCAAATTGTATTGTTTACAATGGAGTACCATCAATTTTTACAGTAACAGAGTCACATGGTGGTATTGTTCAAACAAAATTTGATGATCAACTTTGTCAAGGTAATTATGAAATTATTAAGTTTTTTGTTAATTATTAATTATTATTATTAATTTCTTATATTGTTTTTTTAAAAAAAAAGAAAATATCATAGATAAAACTTTTTATAAAATGAATTTTTGTAATACTACAAACTCAGAACAACCTTTCGAAGCAACAATTACAAAAACTCTTAATCTTCCATATAACACTATTGTCTCGGTTGCATACACTCAAAAACAGTGTAATGGAAATTTTAATGATTCATTTACTTCAATTAGCTATCAATTACTTGATCAATGTTCTACAAATGGCACATATTCATCAAATTTATCATGCAATGAAATAGGATCAACTGTTTACACTTACGAAGGACCAATATGCGGTGGTGCACCACTCTCTGTAGATACCTATCAATTCCAAAGTTTCTGTGGTAATGCCAACGAAGGTAATAACAATTACTTAGAATTTTGTAATGTTTAAAAAAATGAATAAAAAAATTTAAAAAATTAAATATAATTGTTATAAAAAGTTTATTTATATTAAAAATTAATTTTTTATTAGAAATTTTTTTTTTTAAACCTCTTGAAGAAAAAGAATACTATTGTTAAAATTTTTTTTAAACTTCCAATGAACATTTCAAATCATCTTTATTATGATTTAATATAATATATTTAACCTAAATATTTAAAAAAATAATCTAGATTTTTTTTTATTTTTTTTATTTTTTTATTTAAAATTTTTAATTTTTACACATCATCACAATTTCTATTTTTTCTATAAATTAAAAAATAAAATAGTAATAATATATAGAAAAAATATATTAATAAAATGAATATTTTAAAAAGTTTGATTGTTTTTTTATTTTTTATTGTTATTGTTATAAAATCACAACCTCTAATTTTATTTGAAAAATATCATCTTTCCAGTGGTTGTTCAAATAGTCCTTCCAACTGCAACGGTCAAGTAACTTATGGAACAATATTAAAGCAATCCCAATGTTTGAACTATTTAGGTGTCCCATCTATTTTTTCGACTTATGATCCCCTTGCAACAATAGTTCAAAATAAATATTTGGTTCCTAATTGCCAAGGTATTTATTAATTTTAAAAGTCAAAATAATAAATACATATACTAATTATCTATTATTAAAGGTACTTATTCACAAACTAAATATTTCGAGGGACGTTGTAATGGAACCTGTCAAGGTGGAAACAATTACCCATTTAAAGGAAGTTTAATTAATGATATCGATATCCCATCCAATACATGGGTTTCAGTATCATATTCATCGCCACAATGCAATGGTGATTTTAAAGATTCATTCTTCAAGATCGAGTATAGCCCAATGGATTTCTGTGAAGCTATCGGTTCATATTCATTCAAATCCACCTGTAATTCCTCAGCAGTAACATATAATACCTATAGTGGATCATCTTGTTCATTTGCCCCAATCTCCACCATAATAATCCCAATGGCCAATGATTGTGGTGATAGTAATAACAATTACAATAATTATTATCAATTTTGTAACAATTAAAAAAAATTTAGTTTATTTTGACTTTAAAATTTATCTCTTTCTTTTATTTTATTATTTTTGTTTTAAAAAATTAGGAATAATTGTTTTTCAGTTCCTTCTTCGTGTTCTTTAACTTCTTTACTTTTTCTCATTGTCATCATTGTCATCTAGTTTTTATAACTTTTCCCCGATAAATATAATTTCTATTTTTTTTGTTTATAAGACCAGAGTCACTATCTTGAAAAAAAATTTAAAAATAAAAAATGTAATTATAAAAAAATTTTAAATAATATTTTCTTTATTAATTTTTGATGTGTTGGTCAATCGTCTAGTTGGAAATGAAGCTTTATTACCATTTACAATTAGATTTGTTTCGGTTATTGGGATAGGGACATTTTTAAAAGATACTATAGTTTGATTCACTACCTTCTTTTTTACTTTAAAAATTATGGACAAAGATGTAACTTGTTTTCCTATTACCTTAGTTTGCTCAATACCATTAAAATCAACTGGATCATGAAATTCTATGATGTACTCTTTATGGGGGTGTTCGAATCCTATTACATTAATTGTTTGGGGGTTAATTGGCGCACCTAAATTTAATAATTTGTATAATATTAATTGTTTATCTTCTTCATCAATTTGATTCAAAAATATAATTTTAATAGATTTTGAATCTGATCCTGCAACAATTTCAAAATTGATAGTTGTGTATGTATGTATGTTTAAGAAAATAATAAAGTATGACTTTTTATCAATTGATTCCGAAACAGCATAGATATTATTTTTATTACCATTATTGTAGTGTTTATTTTTTGTTGAGTTTTCACAATCTAAATTTGCATCTGAATCTGATGAATTGAAATTATCCCTGTATTCATTTGAAGATTTAACATCTTTTTTTCTTTTTTTTTTTTCTTTTCCTTATATTTTTGACAAAATTAAAAAATAATAAGTTTTAATTTCTTTTTTTTAAAAAATTTATTTCTACATACCAACAGCATGAGATTTAATTGTTTGTTCTCTTACATATTTTTTACATAATTTTTTTACAATTTTATATGATCCATCATAGTTTTTTTTGAAATATTTAATTGTTTTAGAATCTTTTTTATCCATTATTTTTTCTGTCAATTTATATATATTATAAAAAATATAAAAAAAAATTTTGTTAAAAAAAAAAAAAAAAAAAAAAAAAAAAAAAAAATTTTGGGGTTGCTATATCTAGTAAAAAAAATTTATCAAAAAATATAAAAAATAATTTAATAACTATATCAAATTTATATTTAAGTGATGAAGTATGAATTAATTTTTGTATAAAAAAATTTTTAGTTTTATAATTATTATTTTTAAATAGAGTTTATAATAATAATTTTTATTTTTTTATTATAATTGTTTTAAATTTATATTATAATTAATTTGGTTTATTGAAATATTGATTGGTTCTAATTGTGACTGGATCTTTATAACCAGTTAATCGAGGGTGAGGTTTTTCATAATCCTTGATTGCTCCAATAGTTGATAATATATAAATTTTATTTCTATAAAATAATAATATTCGTAAAATAGCTGATTAGATTGATTAGATACATTGGTGTTGACTTGATAGTAGGTTCTTTTTACTCATTAACTTAACCATATCAGTTTTTCAGGAAATTATTTATAATATAAACCTTTCAAAATTTTATTTATAATTTTTTTTCTATCCACTCCATATAAAAATAAAAAATTAAAAGCTTCATTTTTTTAACCAAGTGTATAATAAAAAAAAATTTAAATATCATAAATTTAAATTGTATATATTGTAAATATAGTAGCACCAATCAAAAGTGTAAACAAAAAGAAATAGCTCCAATATAAAAAGAAAATATTATGGTTTTAATCTAAATTTTTTTTTTTTATTTTTTTTTAAACTGTAAATTCAGAGTTGAACAAAGTAACAGCAGGGCCAGTTTTAAAAGTTTCGTTGGTTTCGGAAGACCATTGGATTAATAAATTACCACCTGGCATTTCGCAAGAAATATCAGAAGAATCGTTAACATAGTTTAATAAATAAGCGGCAATACCAACAGCACAAGCACCAGTACCACATGCTAATGTTTCACCTGATCCTCTTTCGACGACTCTAGATTGGACTTTATTGATTTCTTTATCTTTGATAGATTGATATACAAATTCAACATTTGGAATAGTATCTTTTAAAAATAATGGATGTTCTTGAATTTTATCAGCTAAATCTTTAATATTGATTTTACTCAAATCTTCTTTTCCATAGTTTTGTGTAAAGTATCCCAATTCTATGTTTCTATCTAAAAAAACTACTGCATGAGCACCTCCACAGCTAACTAAAACGATTTCAATCTTATTACAATATGGTAAGTTTAAATCATCAATGGTAATAACGAACGATTCTTTTGGTGGTATTGAATTCTTTTTTAATATTTGTTCATCTAAACTATATTTCTTTAGTGAGGTTGATACTAATTTGGGTTGTCCCATATTAACTTTAACCATTAATCTACTATCTTGTTTATAATCTGTATTTTGGTGATCTAAAAGTGGATAGGTTTTGATTACGCCAGATTTAGTTTCAATTAATTGCTCTCCATTACCTTCATATGATTTGCTTTTTGATTTAATGTGGTTATCGAGTAAATATTTACTTGCACATCTAACACCATTGCCACACATCATTTCCTACAATTTAAAAAAAAAAAAAAATGTTAATAACCCCTCTTTTTTTCTTTTATTCTAAAATATATGCATACACACAATGACACCATCGCAATTAATGACATGCATACCAAAATTTGTTTCTTTATTCTTTGGTGAATCATCGACAATAATTAACTGATCGCATCCAATCCCAAGTTTTCTATGAGAAATCTTTGGTGTTACTTTACTTATTTCTTCGATTGAAACTTCTGATTCGTCATCACTATTTAATCTTTTAACAGCATTGATATGAAATACAACAAAATCATTTCCTGCACCATGCATTTTACTAAAATTAAATTTATATTTTTTATTTTTATTATTATTATTATTTATTGGTTCCATTTTTATTATTACTACTAATTATTACTATACAAAAAAATATGAATAATAATCAAAAAAAAAAATTTGTGTTAAAAAAAAAATAAAAAAAAAAATAAAATTAATTTAAAAATTTTTTCATCGTTGACTAATATTAAATATTTAAAATATCTTTTTTTTGAATTTTTAGAAAATGTTATGAATGAGTCATTTTCGTTCTTAAATTCCATGGACATAATGACAAATTATCTAAAAACTATATCTTTTTTTATTTTTTAGATATTTTTATTTTTTATTTATTTGATTAATCGATTTTTATTTTAAATTAAAAAATTATGGTATTTTTTGATGAAATTCGATTCTATATAAACTTTATTATTTGAATTTAAATTGAAAAATATATTATTGTTAATGTTGTAATTTGGTAAAATGATGATATGGTTTTTTAAATTATTGCTATTAAAATTGCATATTCTTGTTATTTCGCATCCATTCTTTTGAATTATCTTTTTTAAATTATTGAATGATGAATAAAATTCATTACAGAACGGAATAATTATTATTTTATTTTTAAAATCGTTGTTGCTAATATCATTTTCATAGTATTCGATTGGGATACAGTCTCCTTCATTTATACATTCTTTTTTTTTTGAATCAAATTTAATAATATTATTTTGTGAAGTAAGTAGAGCATCTCCATGATTTTGGTTATATTCATCTCTGATTCTCTTTTTTAAACTAAATAAAAATATTAATATTCTATAATTATTTAATTTTAAAGTTTAACTTACTTTATACTTTTACTGTTCATTTTTCGTAAATTATAATTATTATTGAAAAATAAAAATAAAGTAAAGGTTAAAAAAAAAATTGAAAAGTGTTGTGTGTAGTTTTAAATAAAAAAAAATTCACCCAATAATTAAAAAAAATTAACCGCTAAATTTATTTAGGGGGTTTACATTTATTTATTATTTATATATACTATTATTATTAAAAAAAAAATTAAAGTAATTCTTCGTGTTATTTAAAAAATAAAATATTTTTTTATAATCTTTATTTATTTTTTACTTTTTTTTAAATTTTTACAAACTAATTTTGGGTTTGGTAAATTTTTAACAAATTCACATTCTCTTTTAGTGGTATCTTCATCACAATTTGAACATTTGTATTGAGCTACAATGCCATCCTTCATACATTTATATTGATATAGGACTTTGTTTTCACTTAAACAGACACCATCTCTATATGAAACAATTTTAATATTTTCACAATCCTTTTCATTTGATTGTTTTTCTTTTTTATTTGATTTTGATTTTGATTTTGATTTTGTCTTTGATTTTGATTTGGTGTTCTTTTCTTTTTTAATACAATTTTTTTTATCTTTTTTATTTTTTTTATCTTTTTTATCTTTATGGTGATGCTTTTTAGATTTCTTTTCTTTTTTACTATCTTCATCTTGGTCAACACATTCATCATCTTCAGTTTCTTCACTTTTTTCTATTTTTTCATTATCAATTGATTTATTTTCACTTTCAACTTTTTCTAATTGTTCATCCTCTTCAAAAAATACGATAGTATTGCAAAATCCTTTATAGTTTGGAATTGTGACATTTTTGAATTCATTTAAATGAAATATAAAAGAAGCATGTTCCTCAACTATACATTCATCTAATGAATTGGTCCATAATAGTGGCAAATCTGTACGAGCACAATCTATTTTGCTTTTAATTGGTGTTTGATAAATTACTTTTTTAGAAGAATCTGTTGATGAACTTGTTAAAATATTGGGTGAGCATCTTGAATGGGTATTGATTTTGTCAGGTTGGCCATTGCATTGCTTATTTTTTTCACTATTATAAATCTTTTCTATTACTTCGTAACCATAACTACCATTAATAGTGACAGAAACTATTAAAATTAATACAAGTAATAATTTCATATTTATAAATATCCTTTGCTTTTTTTTATTTATTTATAATAAAGTTTTTATGTGTGTGTTTAAATTGCTATGTTTTTTATATTTGTGTGTGTAAAATTAAAATATTAAAATTGAAAAAAAAATACTAAAAATAAAAATAAAAAAATTTATTGTAAAATAAAATAAAATAAAATAAAAATAAAATGAATAATTAAG